GCTTTAGACCACTCAGCCATCTCACCAGCCCAATAATCGTTTTTTGAAGAGCTGAAATAACATCTCAGTGTAGTTTTGATTTACACTTTCCTAGTGGCTAACAACATTGAACATGTTTTGTATATTTGTTGGCCATTTGTACTTTTTTTGAGAAGTATCTGTTTGATTCATTTGCCCATTGTTAATTGAGTTCTTTGAATTTTTGGTGGTGTTTCCTGAGTTCTTTATTCTAGGTATTAATCTTCTGTCAGAAGAGTACCTGGGAAAGATTCTCTCGCAGCCGTCTCTTCCTTCTGCTGGTTGTGTTGCTTACTATGGAGAAACTTCTTAATTTGATGCAATTCTATTTGATTCTTGCTGTAACTTCCTGTTCTATTGGAGTTCTGTTCAAGAAGACTGTGCCTATGGCTTCAACTGTTTCCAACACATTCAGATTATGGACACCCTTCCTGCTTCCCCTTCTGGGTGGGCCCTTTAATCATGATGGTGACATGTCTACTTATAGCACCCTTCCTTTTAAAATTTTTTTCAAGGTTTTTTCAGTCTTGGATGCAAGCCTTCACTAACGATGAACTTCTCATCCTGGCTGAGCCGCCTGGCACTAGCTCCTACATGGGTGTGAATCGTGATCCTGCCAATCCCCTCAGCCCCCAAATGATGCCCCTGTTCAGCAGGAAGCAGTCTAAGAGAGCCATTGCCCCTTTTTTAACAACTAAAAGATGGGAATGGTAGGTTCTGACCTGAGTATGAACTGCCCAATTATGGTGGTCATCTAACATGGCTGAAACCCAAGCACAGCAGCTCCTCTTCCAGAGACCACCTCTTCCTCTTATGCGAGTCTGGGATGCTTTTCCGGTGCACACAAGGGCGAGCCCAGTCAGCTCCTTAAGCTCCACCCCTAGCAAAATTCATAACGTCTTGGCCTTCCATTGTCTCATGTCAGAGGATCCTCATCTCCGTGCTGTGAACCTGTCGTCCCTGTCTTCAGAGTTAATAAAGGCTCTCCCCTCCTCCTTTGTTTCTGCATCTCTGACCTGCCACTAAAAAGCTTAACAGTTTCCCCTTTGCTTTTTATCTGTTTCAAAGTCTCAGGGCTTGTAACTAGGCCTGTGGACTTCTCTTTTTCTTATCTTTCCTTCTTTTTTTTTTCTTTTTTCCTTTTTTTTTTTTTTTTAGTATTTTTGAGATAGAGTCTCACTATTCAGTTCGTCCTGGACTTGAATTCCCTTTGTAACCCAGGCTTGCTTCAAATTCACAGTGATCCTCCTGCCTCAGCCTCCTGAGCACTGGAATTATAGGTGTGTGCCACCACGCATGTCCTGTGGAGCACTTT